AGCGAGTCTCCTGCCTCTGCCTCCCAAGTAGCTGGGACCACAGGCGCCCGCCACAACGCCCGGCTATTTTTTGGTTGCAGCCGTCATTGTTGTTTGGGGGATTCGAACCCGCCACCTTAGGTGTAGGTGGCTGGCGCCTTAGCCGGTTGAGTTATAGACGCCGAGCCTGAACATTTCTTATAAATAGAATCTCAACACTGTATGTCCTTCTGGGTCTGCTTCTCTCACTGAGCACAATGTCCTCCAAGTCCATCCATGTGGCCTGTGTCACAGTTTTGTTCCTTTTCATGGCTGAGTGATATTCCAGGGCATGGATGGACTATGTTGTGTGTGTCCATTCATCTATTGATGGACACTTGGGTTGTTTCCACCATGCCCAGCAAATTTATTTATTTTATTATTTTTTTGAGACAGAGTCTCAAGCTGTCGCCCTGGCTAGAGTACTGTGGCATCACAGCTCACAGCAACCTCAAACTCTTAGGCTTAAGTGATTCTCTTCTCTCAGCCTCCCAAGTAACTGGGACTACAGGTGCGCGTCAAAATGCCAAACTATTTTTTGGTTGCAGTTTCATTGTTGCTTAGCAGACCCGGGTCAGGTTCAAACCTGCCACCCTAGGTGTATGTGGCCAGATCCCTGCCGACTGAGCTACAGGCACCACCCTGGCTAATTTATTTTTTTGAGAGATGGGGTCTATGTTGCTCAGGTAATCCTTTCTCTTTTTACAGTTTTTTTTTTGGCTAGGCCTGGTTTGAACCCACCACCTCCGGTATGTGGGGCCAGGACCCTACTCCCTTGAGGAGCCACAGGTGCTGCCCTTAGGCAGTCCTTCCAATCTCGACCAAGTTCTTGAGAATCCCAAGGTTAAGCATCCCTGTGCTAGAATGGCACTGATAGAACTTTCTGGATGATGATGGTCTCCAAAAATCTGTGCTGCCACATTTATGGAGTTCTGTCACAACAGTGTCAGGGGTTCATCTGGATAAGTCTGTGGTGAGGGTGTTTGGTACTCAGAATACCACTGATGTCCACCTGGGGCCAGGGGCCATTGGGACAGCAGGTCTGGGATCCTGGGCAGCTCAGGGCTTCTTGGATGCCCTTGAGTTCTTGGCATTGAGCAAGCTGGGAAGGGTCTCAGTGGGCAGGGGTTGCCCTGGGTTGCAAGGGGCACTACCAGGTGGGTGCATGGTCTGAGGGGAGATGACAGTACACAAAGGTCTTGCTGCAAGGGTAGTGCGAGGTCAGTCACAATGGCAGAGACACGGGGATGGGGAGGGCTTTCTGAAGGGGGTTGTCCAGCAAGATCACAATCAGGGGTCCCCACACCCAGAGCATGGGAGCAGGAGTCTTGAGCTCCCCACCCTCACTGCTCCTTGGGCCAGGACAGGACAGACAATAGGTGGGGTGTGGGGCCAGTGTACTCCTGAGATGCCACTGACTGTTATCTCCTAGGGCTGCTGGGGTCTGAGGTTAAGGAGGGAAGAAAGAATTCAGGCGGGACCCTTAAACCTGGATAGGTGGCCACCCTCCATCATCTAGACAGGTCTCTGGTGCAGGTGCAGAGGGGTCTGTGGCAGGGTGGGGGGGTCAAAGCAGACCTCCTGGAGGTGGTGGGGCAGTGAGGGGACCGTGGTCTCTTAACCTTTAGGTCTGGAAAGCAGCTTTCGAGGACTGGGGCTGGAAGTGGGGGTGTTATTGAGTAGGAACCCTGGGTCTTGGGTCTGACCCCACCCTTCCTGAAAGGTCCCTCCTGCCTCCTCTCCACGAAAGGGACAGGTGGGTGGCTCTGACCTCAAGCCTACCTGTCTTCATTCCAGGCAGCAGCAGGACCACAACTTGTGACCTGGGGCCAGGGACTCCAGGTGCCTGGCACACCTAGTCTCTCATGGAAACCCACCATGCCTGGCCTTTTACATCAGTTATCACTGGGTCCTGAGTATCAGTGAAGCTGGGGGGAGGGGGAGTCCTGAGTGGCCAGGTGTTGCCCTGGGTCTCCATTAACAATGACAAAATGGGCACAGGCGCTGAAGTCTAGAGAACTGAAGCTGAGAGGTCACTCAGTACTCCCAGATACTTCAGACCTCTGGGTCCTCAGAATTAACAAAGGCTCCAACCACATTCCACCTGAGTGGCTTTAATCAGCTGTGGGTACAGGACACCCCACTGTCCCACATCTCCCTTACACAGATTTCTCCTCCAGGCAGGGCACAGGCCACAGCTGGGGATGCTGAGCCCCCACAGAACATGGAGCCCACAGTACTTGGCAGCCATTGTCCTCTGAGAATTGTGCTTTGACCTGACACAGAACAAAGGAAAGCCATCAGCACCATTCAGGTCAGCATACCTGTAGGGGTAGGAGACACCTTGGAACCCCACCCGAGCAACCTGATCAGAGGTTGCATTAGGTTAGACCCTAACCTCCTGAACAGGGCTTCCACGAGCTCCAACATACCCACGCTTGCCTGACCACACAAGGCAGGGCCTGAGGCAGCCCTCTCTGTGGGGTTATACCCAACTGGGAGGGCTCGCTTGACTGGGAGAAGATACCTCCACAGAGGCACTCCTGGAGCCCAGAGGAGAAGGTGCTGGTGCACTGTCTGCTCAGGGCAAGGCTGGTAGGTGTGGAGGCTCCTCTTGCCCCAAGGTGCTGGGGGCAGTGTATTTGTGTAACATGTCATGGATGACCTTGGTGCCAAAAGCTCTCCCCTGTCCCCATGCCTCAGGGCACCATTTACGAAGAGTACCAGCTCTGTCCCAAAGGCCAGATATCTGTCCCCACTATACAGATGGGGAAACTGAGGCACAGGGTTGGCAATGGCAGAGCTGCCTTGGCCTGGCTCGCTTTGTAGAGGTTTCAAGTGCAGCTGTGGGAAGACAGTCTGGTTCTCATAAGCCCAAGGCCGGAGTTCACTTCCAAGTGCAGCACATATGAAAGCTCACACAGCTGGTAAATGTCCAGCCCCGTGTGTATCATGGATTTACTAGGATAGGACTCTCTGGGTGTGCCTTCTGGATGGCTCTGCCCCACCAGGTAGCCATGCTGTACATCACGCCCACAGGCGGCACAAGGTAGGTAATCTGCTTCCGGTATTTCTCCAGCCTCATGGAGATGCAGCAACTCAAAAATCCTCACAGATGGCCCTGGATCCTGGTGTTGCCCAGGTGGGCATTTGCTGGCAGCTCTTCTGTCTCCAGGGACAAGGCTAGTCTGGGGCCTGATGTCATATAGGGAGCAATGACCCAGGAAGGGCCTCCTGCCAGGCAGGGCCCAGGAGCGACCAGCACTTCCAGAACACAGGCCCTTCCAAGGGCAGGCATGGAGGGTCCATTGGGTGGGAGGCCATCCTCAGCCGTGCCTGAGGCCTGGGGCAGGCAGGATACAACTAGGAAGGAGCAGGGAGGGGCGGTGGCCTCCCATCACACTGGGCCTGGCCACCAAGCCTGGTCCCAAGTGCAGCCGAGGGTCAAGTCTGCAGGCAGCTCACGGCTGGCATCCCTGCAGTGCAGGGCTCTCGGCAGGGCATCTGGAAAAGGGCAGGGAAGGAACACCATTAGAGATAGGATGGGGGATGGGGGTTACCCGAATCTTTCAGGGAGGCACAAAGTTCTTAGAGACATCTACCTAGCATAGCTTTGGGGATGTGGTTTCTTGGCCTAGCCACCTCACTGCACCCCCAGGCAAAAGGGCCACTTCCAGTGATTCCAATACTGTGTTTCCCTTACCCCTGCCCATGGTTATTGCTAAAGTCTGTGCTGTGGCTTGTGACCTATTTAAGCCACAGACTTAAGACTCAAGGCCCCACCTGTACCCGTGGGCCCAGCTGGCACTGCCCTAGATGTGCTCCATCTCCTGGTCCTGGTCCGGTTCTTCTTCCTCCTCCTCCTCCTCCTCCTCATCTGCACAGGCCTTGTCCAGTGGCACCTCACCATCACGGGCCAGTTCCTCTACATGGGCCAGCATGTCAGCCATAAGTGCCTCTTCCAGCCGCTTCCGCACCTGCTGCACCAGCTCTTCCTGCTTCCTGGGGACACAGGTCATGCTTGCCAGGGAACTTGACATCTCACTGGGGAAGGGGAGGCCCCAGGGGTACCCCTAGGACAGCTCTTGCCTACCTTCTGCCCCTCTCTCAGCTCCAAACAGGACACCCTGGCCAAACAAAGCAAGCGCCCCTCTTGGTCAACTTATCAGATCACACACTTTCAGCCTCTGCTCAGAGTCCAGAGGGATGGCTGATGCATATCCCCAACTCCCCAGAACCTGGAACTGGCCACCTTTGCTTGGCCTGCTTGTGCCAAGTCTCCCTGGGGTCAGTTTTGCACAAGTCCCTTGCCTCTGCCACCATCCCCATAGCACTCAGGGTAGAAACCTCATCAAAATCAGATATCATCTGCCAGCAACGTGCTACCCTCTAGGCCAGTGGTTTTCAACCTTCCTAATGCCATGACCCTTTAATATAGTTCCTCATGTTGCAGTGACCCCCAACCATAAATTTTTCTTTTTCTTTTTTTTTTTTTTT